ACTGTTGTCCAATACCAAACTAGGACTCTCTGAAATGGTAAGCAAGTGCTGTGAGCCCTTTGCCACAAAGTTCCAGTTTCCATCTTTCAGGAAATACTATGCCATATTGGACTTTTTCACTTATATCATACTGACTGCCATTCCCACTGCACACTGGATCAGTGTCATTTCTGAGAGGAAATGCCTTATTTGGCAGGAAGGAAGAAGGAGATTCCTCTGTTGACTCAACTTTCTTAGAGAGGCCAGATGACATAGTGCAGGTGAGGTGAACTGAGATGCACTAAAAATTAATCCAGTCAGAGATTTTCACATTATTATGTAGCTCCAAACTTTTAAACAGGGCTCAAAATCTAGCTGTGCAGACAGAGGTGCTTAAAGATAAATTCCAAAGCTGCAAATGAGGGTTGACTCTCTATTTCAAAACATTTTAAAATACTATACCTACGTAAGATATGCCATATAATATATAGCTATATGTCATATGGAAAGGAAACACCACTAAGGAAATCAAACATAAACTAATACTTCTGAAAATTCATAAAATGAGTTAGGTGAGATTTGAACCATCTGAGCACCTGGATTTCATCCTTTCAGTCTACTGAAATCTCTAGATATGTAGATTTCAGCTAGTTCATTTCTCTTATGTTAGAGAACTGAATGTTGCTGCTGCAGCTTCATACCACCAGAAAATATAGCTGAATTATTCATTGTGAATATTATAGAACATGCAAATGCATTCCTCTTGATTCTTTTTTTTCATTTTCAAACACATCTCTAGCCAATTTGTAAGCATACTCAATATTAACACATATTATGCAAACAAAGGGCACTCTGCAAATGTCTGTTCATGGACTACGCTGGATCTGCAGAGTCATATGAGATTGCTTCCAGGCCTAAATTTCAAGGCCGGAACCTCATGCCAAAGATAAGATGATTAAAATGGCAATACTGGCAAAAGTTTCTTCTGTCACCCAGAAGCATTCGGTCAATATAATGATGGCTTCCCTCCCCCCCCACCCCAAGAAAATTTTTGATTGGAAGTGTTGTGAATATTAGGGGACTACTCAAATCCTGGAAGAATGTACAAACTAGAGTAAATCCATCCATTCGTCTGCAAAATATTTATTGCTAAGTGGAAAACCTATGCTAGGTAAAGAATAAATCCAGAGCCATCAGAAAACACAAGGCTATAAGAGTTCTGCAGTTAAAAAAAAAGACTTACTTTTTACAGCCTCACTCTCCTGTTCTCCACACATTGTGGTCTGTAACTAATGCTATAGATTTGAATCCACTTTGCCAACAACATCCTCTTCATGTGAGGGAGCAGTGGTTGGAGAGTCTCCCAATTGCCAGCTCTCATTATGTTACATGAATTTCGTGATGTCTGACAGTTTTCATAAAACCCAAGCTCTGGGAGACTGAAAAAATCTCCTGAGAACCTCAGCTTTTGATTACTAGGAGAAAAAGGAATATTTTACTCCTCATAATTGAAGATACAGGAAAAAAGTACCTTTTCTGTTCCCCCAATATGCTGAAGGCTCATCAACCTGAAAGCAAAATAAAATGACTCCCAAAACACAGTATATTTGAAAAAAAAAAATCTCTGTTTTTCCTGAGGAGGAAGGAGGGAAAGGCAGAGAGGGGTCTTACAAATTTTAAAACCATAGTGGAAATCAGGCCATTACCCTTAACTGAAATTAGAGAGAAAAAAGGGCTCTTTCTTTTCACAAGTCAAAGGGTGTTAAAATAGGTGCATGGTAAAGAACAGAGCTTTTTAGAAAAATCGTCATATCGCAGGGACAATTTGTACGCTGTCAGACAGTGTACAAATAATGGAGAGATGTTGTCAGGAATTGCCTTTATACAAATTAACAAAATATCCCCATTTTATTTATAATTCAGTTGCCTTGCCTGTTGAATTGAAAATGCACAATGCTAGCACGCCAGATGATCTCACGAAAGACAGCTCTCCAAGACCGTCGTAGGTTCTTTGCATAGTAATAGTAGTGTATGTATGTGAATGAACAGGCACCAGCTACATTTTTTTTTCCTCCCATCCCTTTTAGTATCAGCCCTGTGGAATTATTGCACTAAACACTGCATTATGTGCTCATTGCATTTCATAGGATGCTTGGATTAGTACACATTAATACAATTATTTTGTTCAGTGGCTGTATGTGTCAGCCATATGTGATTACAATGCAAGATAGGAACTGTTCATTTCTACACTGTTTCTAGGGAAGTAAAGGGTTACTAAGGGAAGTGGTGTTTTATCACACATTCAGCATTGCACAAAAATAGTCTAGAAGACCAAAAAGCTTGCATTAAAGTCTTGACATTTCTTTAATTAACTTTAGTACCACAATGACCTATTTTGGATACTGTTAGCATACGCTTTCTGTACAATATATACTTAGTTAATCATATCTTGGGAGGTGCCTGAATATCATTTCTTTAAATATTGAGAAAAGAACAATTTGGTTCAGTACTTGAGGGCAGAGCTACTCCCTGCATAGCCTGGATGGAGCTGCGTTTCTGGTGGGGGCAGGGAGGCAGCGTACAGACGCCGTAAAGCCTTAGTCTCGCAGGGCTGGGATAATGTGACTGCACAGCATGTGAGATCAAAAACCATATGTGCCTTTCTGTTTCAGATGACCCTTCTTCATAACCAGGTTTTCGGGGCTGTATACTTTTTTTCTTTTAGTCGATTTATTGCCAGTGAAAGTTTCTAGACTGATAGCCTGAGATCGGTCTCTTTTATTAGCCGCAGTGAACAAACAGTGTAGACACAGCCCAGAACATTACAATCGAGCTACCCGATTCAGTTTTCATGCAATTGCATTGGTGTGAAGCGGGTGTCAGATGTGACCCGCAATATTGCCTATGCAAAGCACGGAGAATATCTGCCATGTTTTGCTCTGAATATAAGAAAATGGCTGAACAAGGTGCAAAGTAGGGGATGATAGCCTCCAGCAAATGCTGAAGTTGACCTGAAAGGTTTCCTTTCCAGCTAATTTTTTTTTTTTTTTGGTCCTTGACCCCAGAAATGGAGATGCTAACAGTAGTAGTAGCTTACTGCCCTACCTCCTGGAAACAGAGCCAAGCCTCATCACTTCTTTGCGTGTGCCTTTAGCCACCAGACGTGCAGCTGATGGTTATACCCGTTGGTCAGCATTGTCTTCTGGCCAATTTGGACTTGTGATCCAGAAGTCAAAGGCCTCATAACTTATTACTATTTTACTGAACCATTCTGGCTTTCAACATACGCTTTCACTTATATAGAGCTATGTACATCTATTGCTTTACCTTTTTTAAAAATATAGTTTTGCTCTTCTTTGCATAGATGAATCCACTGCAACCAGACACTTGCTTTTGCTCTTTTGCGCACGTACAGTTCAGACTGTATACTTCTGAATTTAGTCATGTTACATCCTGTGTTACTTGATTAAGATCAGTAGCTGGGAGCTGATCGTTTAGACTTTTCAGAAACTCAAGCTAAGTTTCCTGCGCTTTTCCCTGTATACACGGGGAATAAAATGAACGCCTACAAAACATGTACCAGCACAAGAAAAGGTTCATTTTACTCCTTAATTCATCAGCTTAATTTACCGTGAGGTCCTTATGCCACTAGGACTTCCCAAATCTTTGTATGAATTGCATGAAAATGGTACAGGCCTGAATCCTGGATTTTTGTCAAACGCCTCGTTCTGCAGCTTTCAATTGCCATGGGACCCCATGGGCTTCACCCAGGGGCACGCAGCACCCTTGGCTAGCTTCTTCTCCAACACCATGGATATCCACCAAGCATCTAAGCAGGGAGTCAGGCCCTCTGCTCCCTGGTATAAGCTTAAGGACAGAACTTGTTGCTACGATTCTTGCAAAGACGAGAGGTGACAGGATGTAGCCCCAAATGTACATGAGCTCCCCAAGGTGAAGGTCAGCAGCTTCAGAAAAAAAAAATCCACACTTGCCCAGAAAAACAAATTTTGCTTTATAGCAACTGGTTCAAATAAATACAGGCTCAAGCTCTAAATACACAGCTAAGGTATTGAAGAAACATGCTCACAACCTCCTGTAAGGCGTCTCTGAAAGCACTTTTTCCCCAGAATGCTAATTACTCACTTAACATTTTAAGAAAATGGGGGAAATTATGATTACTAAAGTCAATTCCTAGTGACCTCCTCAGCTCCCAAATTTCACCCATTGTCATTTGAGGAAAAATAACCAAGGAAGTGTCACAGGCCTGAATTAACTGTCAGAAACTAGCAATAAGGAGTACTGCTATTTATACACGCAACTGATTTAGTCATTATCTAAATTTTACAAGTTACCAGTTAATTTTTTTGCTCCTAAATGTTAATTTTGAATTAGGAGATGAATTGTAGCTTTTTATTCTTTGATACCAGTTCTTAAGAAGTGGTTAAGACATTATACAGCAGTGTTCAAAACACGAACGTTTTAGTAAGTTTCATTTGCATGGGACACCATCCACTAATCTATCTTCAGAATACTACAAAGCATATGTTCAACAATGGACTGAGTAGTCAAGTCACCTCTTACAATACTTAAGGCCTGGTCAATTAATACATCATTTAAAGGAACCATAGATTTATACAGCTGAGGTTCAATCTGTGCAGCAGTACAGTACGGTTCTTACTAAGATATGCTATGGGTGTGGCAAAGAAACAAACTTAGCCAGAGGTTTGCCTCTATCAATTTCTACATTAATTATCAAAGAATAAATATTTAAAGTGAAATATATACTCACATGGCAACAAATCATAAGCAATGCAATTTTTACTGAAATGGTCTAAAAACTAGCTTCAAGAGATGCGAATATACATTAAGTCTATTGGTCAGAGCACGCATCAAAAAACTGATAATGACGACTGAGGTCTGAATGATCTCCAAAGGTTTTCTAGTATCCCATGTCTCAGTACCGGCACTTATGCTTCACATCCTTTGATACAGTTCTCCAAAAAGAGGACATAAATACCATCCAGGTTTTAAAACATTTTATTTGCATATTAAAAAAATTGTGCATTCCAATAATTAAAATCATTTGAACAAAAAAAAAAATGGCACTCGATTAACTGCATTTTACAGCTCGCAGGACCTTGGTACAGCTTTGCATTTATTCGTGTGTTACTATAGTTTACTGTAGTCCCACCCAAGTTCTTCTTTCATCAACATGCAAGCTCTTTCATGCCACCAGGACCAAAGCCAGACAGGCAGAGGGAAAGGCAGCGCCTTCATTCAGTGTCAGTAGTTCTCTCTATTCTTTTGATGTGAAAGGGGCAGTACAGTCATTTTAAACTTTATCCAACCTCTTTGCATCTTACAAAGTTAAACAGCTAAAAGAAGTAAAATAAGAAGGCAATGCTTGTGGAATGTACAGTGCATAATTTGGAAGGGCAGATTTCATTACGATTCACCCGCTTGCTTCTCCTGTTCAATTGCTAAAAGGGGAGGAAGAACAAAAAAAAAAAAAGAGGAGAAAAAAAAATAAAGATCAAAAGCCTGAAATGCATTTACACGACAATGGCTATAGCTTGCAAAAATAGGCATCTACAAAACCGAAATATAAATTTTTAATTAAAAACTGCTTCACGCCAATTTTATGGTTTCTAGGACCGTAGTAGGGTGGCCGCGTACTCTCAGTGGAGAGGCTCCCTCCCCGCCTCCCTCCCCCGGCTTTGTCTGGGCGCTGCCTCCCCACCGCCCTTCCCCACGCACGCCCGACACCACACTCACTTTCTTTTGAAGGCAGCGGGTTTTTCTCTTGCGTCTCTGTCTTCTTCAATTTCGACTTGTCAAATTTCTCAATTTCAGCCATGTCTGGTTTGTCGGACA